TGTGGAGGTAATGGGAAATAATAAAGTTTACATCCGTTAACCTCTATTCTATATAATTTGGTTCACCCGCCCCAAAACCCCTCCTCACCCAAAAAATTGTCTTCTCAATTTTAGTGGTGTTAACCATGATTTAGAACAGTTTATATGGGTACATGCATGCCTCTCAAAGTTAAGATATTCCTCTGATTGTAATCTAAGAACAAACTACATACCAAAGATAATTTGATCAAGAAAGATTGGACAGGAGATCCTTTATGCTCTATATGTCATGAGTCTGAAGAATCAGCAGATCACCTTTTCATCAAGTGTCATTATGCTCGTGCTATTAGGCAGGTCTTTCTACCTATGTTGGGCCTTAATTCTTTTTAACATGATCTGTTTCATATGTTTAACTCTAAAGGTCAGTTTATCATGGATAAAAATTACCGTGTGCTTTGGTCTATCCTCTTACCTACCTTGTTCTGGCGTTTATGAAGAGAAAGGAATAATAAAGTTTTTAATGACGAGATTAGAGATCCTTCCAAGCTGGCGACTAATGTTGCCTATTTTCTATTGTTCTGGACAGGTAGCTCTAGTCACAAGAAGCCGCCGCAAAGTTGAATTGTATTCTACAGGAAAAGAAGATTGATGAACTTTTGAGTGGTAACGAAGACAATGGCTGATTTTTACAGGGTCTCTAGCTGCTTTGGTTTCTTAGAATAGATGTTTTGTTTAATTGCTGAGTCGTAAGCGGAGTTTTTGTTTTGTGAAGTTGATGGTGCATCAGCTGTCTTCACGTGTAATTATATATGTCTTGATACTTTTAAATACCCTTTGTTTAGGTCACGTCCAAGGCTGCCCGGCGACGATGATAACCACCACGCAATTACAACACAAGGTCAAGTTCCAGGTCCAGATGCAGCTATGGTGATAGCTGTTTGGAACTCTCTCGGAATCAAATAGAGGTCCACCTAATAGCCGGCGCTCTAAAAGTTGATGAATGTCAGAAACTAAATGGGAAGGATAAGGGTGTGATGTAGTGGGTATTCTACTTTTGAGGACCATTACATCATGACCAAATGGTTAAAATGAGAATCTATGAGATCTTGAGCAAGTAGTAGCATCTGAACTATATGTACCGTCATTTTATTACACGGATAAAAGATTTAAGATGCATCTACGTCTTCTTCTTTGCGTGGATTTCAAAATTAAGGCACTTGTATTTGCTTTTTCACTCCTTGAAATGGTGTATCAAGTTACAAACTAAGCAGTACTCTTATTTGGAAACCTAACAATGGACTTCTGAGGGGAGAGATGGCTGTCAAATTTTCCTAAACTAGCTTAGTCTCTCAATGGATTAACTTTAGATATAGTGGGACTGTCATTTGAAAAACTAATTTTGAACTTGAAAGGAGAGAATTGGCTCCCAAATTTCGATATAAACAAACACAGATGCAAAGACCAACCCCCCTGCCAAAAAAACCCTAAAACCTAAAAAAAAAAAAGGCAAATCAGTGTTTATTGATGTGCAGAGATGAATGTCAACATGGTTGAGTCTCATATGATCAGATGCAAGGACAACGATGAGTTTTCATTGTTACGGTAGGATATTCTCACTCTGCAGCGAGACAGAGTGAAAAGGGAATACTAAGTTAGATTAGGATTCTACAAGTATCATTTCAC